GGGGGGTGTACTCATAGTCGTGCATGCCGTAGTCGTTAGACCATTGACCTCGCATCCCTACAAAGCCGGGACGGAGCACGCCGGGTTCTCACCGGACCAGGCTCTCACATCACCAAGCGCGAAGCGCCGTGAGATATTCGGCGAGTCGCATTTAGGTTGCGCTGCATCCTGCTAAGGGTGTTAGGCATCTTGTGCTCTCTTCCTTGCGTACGGATGACAGCTGCGCATGAATTACTTTATTTTCTGGTGCTTTCACTTCCAGAGACAGTTGTAAGCACTGTGTAACTGCCTCGAGGGTGCTTGACCATTTTAACACAACGTGGTGCGATCATCCCCCTTGCGCGGAGTGAGGGTTCTCCACCCCGCACAACATGATCTACTCGACCACCATTATGGTTACCGCCAAAAAAAAAAACGGAGGTAAAAAAAAAGCGGTAACCTGGTTGCCGAGTTCACGAAGTGAATTGGCTTGTTTTACAACGTCGTTGCCAAGCGACGAAAACCCAATCCCGATGGCAAACACCGGAGGGGGCGGCTTGTTTTACTGCACAATAGGGACAGGAAAAAAAAAAAAAAAACAGTTAAATGGACGGACGGGGTTGACCGAGAAGAGCCAGAGGGATACGCCCACCTTGAGTTGCGCCTGCGCCGTGAGGATATGATTCGTGGCCATGCGCTCCCGCTCCGGCGCTCGGGCCAAGCGCCAGTACTGCTCGCCCCCGCAGAAAGCAAGGTAAGCAGGGCAAGGGAACCCAAGCGTATGGAACGAGGGTTAGCAAGCACCAGCCGAGCCGGGCACACAAATCACTGTCACACCCATCAGCACCATCATCCTGCGATGGAAACTGCACCGGTGAAGTCATCAACAAGCCCACACTTGCCCACAAGGACCCGAAAACCTGACTCGAACAGAGAGAAAAATGAAAGAGCACTTACCTCAGTCGTCAGTGGAGACTTGACCATGGTGAGCCCGATCCGCCCCTTAGCCGTGTTTTCCAGACGGAGGGCCGATAAGAACAGCCCGGTGTTCTTATGCTGGAGGTGGACCAGATCCTCGGGACCAAGCCAACGATCCGCCCCGACCTCTTCAGTAGCTGCCGGCCCCACCAACCCCCCCGCCCCCGCGGCCGCCGTGCGCCGCGGCCGAATCACGAAGACCGTGGCCGCTGGCACCGCCGCGTGCTGATCTACCGTCAGCATGCCCACTCTTGCCGCCGCAGCATCTGCCGCCGCCGCTCCTCTCCTCCTGCTGTCCCCCCGCCGCCGGGTAGCCGGTCTTCCGCCGGCGCCAGCATCCCCGCCGGAGTTCACTCCGCCACCACCCCGGACGGGATCGCACTTTTTCCCGACGCAGAGGTAGCGCATGGTAGCTAGGTGTTTGATGCGGACGTACTCGACAGGGTCTCCCGCGCCCTGCCTTCTCCTCCTCTTCGCGACGGCCTCGGCGTAGGTGTCGCGCCCGAAGCCCCCGCCCGGGAAGGAAGAGGATGGGCGAGTGCCGCTTGCAACGCCGGTGCTGCCAACGCCGCCGCCGCCGCCGCCGCCGCCGCCACCGCCACCGCCACGTGCCCCACCGTCGTTTCCGCCAGGGAAGTTGTCGGAATCGCTGTTCCATCTCTGCCTCTCCGTCGCGCCGCTCCTGTTGCCACCGCCGCCGCCACCGGAAGAATAACCCGCCCCCGAGGCAGCGGCACCACCGGTGTAAGCAGAATAGTTTCCTGGCTGTTGCGCGGTCTGCTGCTGGTGGTGGGAGTTGCGACGGGCGTTGCCACTACCGCTTGTCGAAAACGATGACCAGGCGGTCGGGTTTTCTCCCTGCTGCTGACGTTGTTGCGGTGGGTCGACGGCACCGGCGGCGCTCGCGCAGCTGCCTCGCAGCGGCCGGCCGCCCAGGGCGCAGTGGGTCCGCTCCAGAACCCACAGGCAGTTACTGCTAGCGTTCTGCAGCTTCTGGCGGCGGTGAGGGGTCGCGGAAATGTATAGGAACGGACCGCCCCCGACCCCACCGTCGCTTGCCTGCCCCTGTGCCGGGCCGTCCACTCCCGCCCCGCCCCCTCCTCTTCGGCCTCCGCCTCCTCCTCCGGCCTGGTCCACCATCCTAGTCTCCGGCTGCGCCCATCCCCCGCGCGGAAACGCTTCCGGCGTCACCGCCTCGCACGTAAGAAACCCCGTGGATGCCAGGTGGCAGAGGCGCACCACGTCTCCCCCGCGGATCGCGCCCGCGTCGTCCACGACGCCGCCGACGGGGGTGTCGGCGGTTCCGCTGCCAGCGAGCGCGTAGGGTGACGACGACGAGTCCGGAGCTGGCCACCCCCCGGAAGCGGAGGCCATTGCCGCTGCCGCCGCCGTTGTCGCGATGGACAGTCTCCCGTCGTCGTACGGCAGGGAGGGACAGTCGTCGTACGGCACCACTCTCAGTAGCGAGTGCGAGAAAGAGGCATGCACCTGCGTGCGTGCGTGCGTGCGTGCGTGCGTGTGAGTGCGTGTGTGAGTGTTGAGCGGCATGGACCCGTCCTTCGAAAGGCGGGGAATAGGCCGCGTAGGGCGGGGGTACGGGGGATGAGGAAGATGCGTATAGAATCGCGCCTGTTCTTGAACTGTCACGAAATTACGTAGTGTTGATTTTCGCCCCGCGAGCAACGGTCGAAACGTACTCCCTGCATATATATTTTTTCTGTTCCCCATCATTGGATTCTGTCGTCTGCCCCTCTGACCCCTCTCCTCCACTTCTACCAGCTAGACGACCCAACCGGGGTCACGTAGGAGGGGGGGTTGGACCCCATCCTGCGGTTCCTGCCTGAGATATTTATTTCGCGAGAAGGGTACAGCAATCCCTTCCCTCGCCACTTATAAGTCGATCAAGTTTACAAACAATGAGCTTGCAGCGCGTCGCTTCCAACGGAGACCAGGATGTAATTAGCGAGAAAAAACTCACTCTGTCGGGACTCGAACCCATGATCTTGCCGGTAGCAGGCTGCGAGGCTACCCACTAGACCACCGGGGCGACCGGTGGCTGTACATTCCCGGATACCCCAAGGACGTGAATACTCTTGGCCTTACCACAGGTACGGCCATGACAAAGATATTAAGCCCCCAATTCCGTATGTTGACACATGTCCACCCCACAGCTTCCTAAACCGTGGCAAAAAACCGAGGAAAACAATAACAAACAATGAAGCACAATGCAGCGTACCGCTCCAGGGTACTTCTCCCGAGGCAACGTCGGAGACGGGCCGGTGGAAGCTCCTGGTTCTTCAGCCCCTGATACTCCTTCCACCTCTGTTGCTGTCGTTACCCTTTGGCGATCCAAGAGGGTTGGGTGCGCCCGCAGGCTCCGGTCCCAGCGGTTCGAGTGTAGGCAGATCTCGTCATAGTGTAGGACCTGTGCAGCCGTTGCATCATGTTCGCTGGGGGGTGAAGCTTTTGCAGAGGAGGAGTAGTTGAGTGGCTACAAAGAAAAGGGCCGAGGGATTATCGTTGCGCGAGTTCAAGCGTGGTCGCTGAGTCTCCTTCGTGCCAGCGATATGTTTGTGGAGCGCGGTGTTGAAGCCAACGTGAGGAGCGGTGGGGTACTTGCCTACACACCCGAACTGGAGTGGGGTGCCTGAACTGGTAGAAACTTGTCTTTCTTTTCCCCCACGACATCAGTCCCTTCCCCCACGATGTCAGCCCCACGTGCACACCGGTTCGCTATCCCTCAGCGTTCGTCCGCACTTGGACAAACGGTTTGGTCAACCCCAGTGCTTTAGTTCCCGTGAAGGGAGCCTCTTTCGTGCGGACTCCTGCAGAATTGGGCCTAATGAACCTTACCCTCCCTGCTTAGCCTTTGCCCGCTGTGAGCCTTCCACGTGGTTGGTGTCCATGGACGTCTTCTAGGTCCTAACTTGCCAGCCGCATGCAAACCCATTGAGGACAGGGGGTGTACCGTTGCACTTGTTGTGTAGCAGCACATGCCCCCCCCCCCCCCCCCCCCCCC